AAATAAGATTAGAAAACCCTAAAAACGAATATTTGGAAATTTTCCGGACCAACGCACTGAAAACTCCTTTTCGTGCTCGTTTCGGTCAAATCTCGTTTCCATTCTTCGTATTCTTCACGTATAAGTCCATCCCTATTGGTGTGTGACCCTGTAGGCCCATTCTAAGTGGTAGTGACTTTAGGAACCTTTCCCGAACCACAAGTCATGGTTAGCCTCTAGCAAGACGCCATGACCACCCACGTTGAATTGAGTTAATCTAACCAAGGCAATAACAGCTCGAGTTCTGATCCTTTATCTCACGATATCATGTGTTGAACAAGGGCATGGTTTGAGCCACCCTTCAAGTTCAACTGCTTTCTCGTCTTGGCAAATCGACTAGTAAAATAGATGCAACTTCATCTATAGCGTGGCCACGCGTTTTCATAGTCCGACTTCCACGAGAGGGCCCAGCGATATCTCTCCTGTTAAGGAGGTGACAAGTCCCATATTGCATGTCTACTATCTTCATATGATTCGTGAACGTATCTGATCAACGCCGTTATAATCATCCGGTTAAAGACGACGTTTGACGCAGTCAAGACACGTCACTCCTCATATCAGATACTCTAGACATCTCAGGTATGAGGATCCATAAATGAACCGCTGTATGAGATTCAAGTCATGACTCTGTCCATGTGACAATCTCATGCGGGTCATCCAGTCACTCGTTCACAACGAGTACCCATGATTGTGATCTACATCCAACGCGTTGATCACACCTCATACTAGTCTTCATTCAACATTGTTCCCACAATGATGACTGACTAGGGAGTTTAGAATCATTCTCTAATGATTCAAGGATGCCGAAATACAACAAACATGCTAATCGTATAACGGATAAATAATGCATTCATAAATCAATGAATCAATACAAAGTAAAATGTCATATCATGGATCATCCTAGAGCATTTCAACCAACAGTTACTATTTCACCATCGTTTCTTTTTCTTTTTTTTTCTTCAGTTTTTTTTTTCAAAATTTAACACAAGGGTTTTTGGTCTTTTCATAAATATTTAAGAGTTTTTATTCTTTTACCATGTTGAAAAGTGTTTTTTGTTTAATTTTTTGTTTCGAGGGTAGCATCAGATGTCCAAATAACAGTCAAATGGTATATCAACTATTTTCCCTTTTTGGACACTCCTAGGTTTTTGTTTAAAAAGTATTTTTAAAAACTTATCAAAGTTGTTGACATTCTCTCATCGAAAAAATACACCATTTGCTAATCTCGACACTTCAAAAAAAAATTCTAATTTAGTTTGATAATATAAATTATAAACTCAAAAAATATATATTATATTTAACTTCAAAACTAATAATAATATTATTTAAAATCTGTATATATTTTATCTAGCACGTGGGTTTTGTAAATAAAAAAATCATTGATTTTATATAAAAATAAATATAAAATCTATTTATAATACATTTTTAAAAAATTTGCAACATTTCTTTATCCTAGAATTTTCAAAAAAAAATCAGAATATAAATTATAAAATCAAAAATAAAATATATTATATTTAATTTTAAAACTAATAATATACTTTTTAAAATATGATCGTATTTTTAATCCACTGATACGTGTGTATATGTATATAGATATTTTTATATGCCAGATTGTTTTTAAAATATTTATCATGATAATGATCCATTATATGTATTCTGTCTCTAGAATATTTGAAATCAATTAAAAGACGTTACAACTATGATTCTATATTATTACCCATAAAATATAGATAAAGAAACTTTTCGCAATTTGTGTTTAATAAAAATACAATATCACTATCTTGAAACTTAAAAAAAAATTATTTAAAGTGAATTATAAATCAAAAACAAAATATATTATATTTGACCAAATAAATAGTAAATTTAAAATTAATAATAAATTATTTTAAAATTCATAGATATTTGTAGTCCGTGCCCGCATATTATTATCTAGTATTATAAAGTATATTTTAGATAGAAAATTACATAATTATATTTGTTTTTACATTTTATGATTAAATCTTTTTTTGATGTAATTTGGGTGTATTAATCAAAAAATTTGTGGTACATAGTCCAGGATTTAATCCACATTTACAGCATTCGCCAAGTTAACCTATCAAAGGAAAATAGCTTTTACAACAGATTTAATATAACTTACATGTCAACTTCTCACCATAACTAATGAGTACCAGTTTTGCAACAACGTATTGTTGGCACTTTCTCTGACCTGTTACAGTGACAGGAGGGCTGATCTAATTGACCGGTCTATCTTCACTCGCAAAGCTTGAGCAGTGGTAACGGAGTTACTGAAAATCCGGGAGTTTCTCTCCTTCCAAATTTCATACACGGCATTTTGGATGAGAATCTTGGTCAGTATTCTTCTTTTCCGGTCATCAGACCGCGGTATCGTTGCTACCCAAGTCCTACAACTTGGTAAGTCGTCGGGAGGTTGTTGCCAAATCTGCTCGGCCAACACTTTCCAGATCTCTGAACTGAAGGGGCATCGAAAAAACAGGTGGTAGTGAGATTCTTCCTCCTGATTAAAAAGTACACAACTTGAGTTATGAATCAGATTCCAGCGGAACAATCGATCCCGGGTTGGCAGCCGCCCATGTTCAACCATCCAATGCACAAAAGCGTACCTTGGCGTCGCTTGTTTGAACCAAACCATATGAGCCCATTCGACTTTAGAGAACACTTCACGCATAAGTTTCCAGGTTTTGGGAGCTGAAAAGTGCTGTGAATACACATTTTCAGCAGCCATCCACTCATATTCATCTGCTCCTGCATTCTGATCCGGTACCTGTAAGTCCAATAATTTAACGTAGAGATCCTGAATCCTTTGAGATCTAGCACCAGGTAGCAGCCAACTTCCATTTGAGATAGCGTCACAAACTCTCCCATTCAGCGGAATTCTAAGTAGTCTTGGTCCCTCCTCACCGATGTAGCAAAGAAGATCACCAAGGCCGCTCCAGTTATCATACCAAAATAGAGCAATACTTCCATCTCCAATCTTACATTTGAGAAATTTTTTGACCAAGTCCTTCATTTGCAACAACTTTCGGATATCATGACTGTCTCGGATTTGGCTTTGTGCTCCAATATGATCCTCTCCTATTTGAATATCCATTGCACTCAATGGTTATTCTCAAAAATAAAAATAATGATTAATTAATGTTGTAATAATCTTTTGATAAACAGGGAGTTTTAAACATATAATATTTTTATGTATTTTTTTAATTAATATACTATTTGAATATTCGTGTTATACGCGATTTATTATTATTTATAATAAATATAAAAAAATTTATTGATATAAATATTATAAAAAATGATATCAAATTTTTGTTTAATATAGAAAAAATATATTAGTAAAATTTTATTATTATAAAATTATCATTAGTCATATTATTTGTACGTCAAAGAATATGTGTTGTTAGGTTTATTATTATCGATTTTTTCCAATCTCTAAAAAAATTAGTTATAACATAATAATAATAATAATAATAATAATAATAATAATAATAATAATAATATTTTTAAATATTATAGTTACGATTTATTTTGATAATGAGTTAGCATCTATGATATAAAATATTTATTATTTGTTATATTTTTATAATTTTTATTTATGTGAATATAATAAAAATTGATATAGATTATTTATTTGATATATATATATATATATATAATTATATCTAACAACACCATTCATTCACAAATTTTGTCATTGTATTGCGATCAAAACTTCTATAACATGTACAACATAAGTATATGTTATTTTAATTTTTTACAATTTGTAAATATTGTAAATCTTACTTTTTATTTTTCGGTGTCAAATCATGATATACAATGTATATAATTTTTTTTTGATAATATTACAAACGGTGATATTAGTCTTTTGAACAGTACTATTTTCTTTAAAATAAATATTAAATTGATTATTAAAAAATATATATTAAATTATTATCTGTTAATTTGTTTCTATATTTAGAAAAAATTTAAAATCACTAATAAAAAAATATATTTTTCATATTTATTATTTTAAATATTTTTTCTAGGTTCTGAAATAGTTTGGTTACTTGGCAAAAAGTTTTTACACGTGGCAAGAAAAATGTTTTGATTACGTAAATAAACATGCCAAGTCAGATTTTATAAACGTCTTTTAATGTCGTTTCTTTTTGGATATTGTTTTGGAACAAATTTTCAATTTGGAGAATATATTTGATAAATTTTTAATTGAGAATTTTTATGGCACATTTTAAAAAAATTGGAAATTTTAAAGAAATTTTTTTTCTTTTAAAATAAAAAACTCGAACCGGCTCTGGAGAGTGGCCGGCCATGTCACCTCTTCTCTTTATAAGGATTTGTCCTCTGTGCAAACTCTCCCCAAATTCGTCATAAAACCTAATTTCGCCGCCCCAGTTTTGAATCTAGTCTCTCTTTTTTTATGCATTTCGATCCTCTGCAACGGAGATTCATTCAATTCGAGGACGTGAATCAATGCAGGGACCTGCTGATTACCCTCCGATGATCGGAAACCGCCGTGTCGAGATCCGATCCGTTTGGGCACATAATTTCGAGCCCGAATTCAGGATCTTACGATCGATTTCGCGTCAATACCCTGTGATCGCCATGGATACTGAGTTTCCAGGTATCGTTTTTCGTTCTGGCGGTTCAGAACCGTATCTCCGGTACCGTGATCCGGTGAAGCATTACTCGACCCTGAAATTGAACGTTGATCGTCTGAAGCTGATACAAATCGGGATCTCATTGTCGGACGAAGATGGTAATTTGCCGGATCTTGGAACGGAGTATTCGTATATCTGGGAATTCAACTTCAAAGATTTCGATGTTTCGAAAGACTCGCATGCCTCTGACTCTATTGAGTTGTTGCGGCGACAAGGAATCGACTTTGAGAAGAATCTGCGTATGGGGATCGATTCGGTGAGTTTTGCGGAGCTGATGATGTCGACGGGTCTTGTTCTGAACGGTAACACGACTTGGGTCACGTTTCATTGCGCATACGATTTCGGGTACTTGGTTAAGTGCCTAACCCAACGGCCACTTCCTGACCGTCTCGAGGAATTCTTGCATTTGGTGAGAGTTTTCTTCGGGGAGCAAATTTACGACGTGAAACATCTCATGCGGTATTGCCAAGGCCTTTACGGTGGTTTAGACCACCTAGGCAAGTGTCTTGGGGTGGAAAGAATCGTCGGAAACAGCCACCAAGCCGGTTCGGATAGTTTACTTACATTGCACACTTTCCGAAAGATAAGGGAAGTGTATTTTGGCACATTCAATCCGGTTGAGAAGTATGCAAATATGTTGTCCGGATTAGAGCTCTGTTGATGATGCAAGAAAAGTTTTTGTTTTCCTGAAGACGTAGATTTCTATGGTTGCCCTGGGTAGATGATCTTTCTGTACACAGTTTGGGGGTTATCAATAAGATAAATTCGTTTAAATTTCAATCCCTTTCTCCAATTGCGATACTAGATTCATTCTTTCTCTTTTAAAAGATCTCAGTTCTTTGCACCATTCATCGTTTTGAGTTCTTTTAGAATTGTTGTTCAACCTGAGGAATAATGTAGATAGTAGGATACAAAGGGATATAGAGAAGGAAATTTGCCCCTGCAAAGAGTTTCCTCAGTTATAAACAGATTGAAGGATTATATGCATTAGTTGTTGCCTTCAGTTTTCAAATACCCGATGGTGTAGACCTCGTATATATTATCCATGTGCAACACTGGTGGAATGTGCTTCACATCTGGAAATCTAACTTGTTCCACAATGGTTTTCCTTATCCTCTTTAGTGGAATTGGGACATGCATTAAGGAGACTCGGTGGTGTATTTTTTTTGTCCAGTGTTTCTGTAGGTTGATCAGGGGATTATAAAGAGTGAGGCCATGCCGTAGACGGAGATGTTCCTAATGAATTGCCTGGAGAACTTCGTGAGTACTTTTTTTCAAGCCATGAACTTCGTGAGTACCTTATGAATCGTGTTCAGTGTAGGATTCAATTCAAGGAGAGGATACTGGATATGGGTGGTAATATTTTAGACCATGTGAAATTTGTCCGTGCAATGAGACTCTTACTTTGAGTTGTAGATGTTATCAACTGGTGGAATAGCTATATGCGTTAGTTGTTGCTTTGAGTATTCACATATCTGAACAGTTTAGACCTCATACATCTTTGAGCGCAAATGGAGAAATGTTGCTCTTCTCGTAATTTTAGTGGTTTCAGTGTAGTTTTCTTGATCTCTGTTGTGAAAGTTGGACATGTAAGTAGGAAACTTGGTTAGTGTATTCCTGTCTCTCGTGTTTCTGATAAGTGCTACAGTGTCAAAGGCAGGAGACGTTCGGAAAGAGCTGAAGAGGCAAGGGAAAGTTCAGAGGAAGGGAGCTGATTCAAGTGGCGGGTTCTACTGGCCAAGGTACGCAGCTAGTGTGATGTTTGTTTGTATAGTTAGCATATATGTGTGTTTGCTGTTTGTATGGTTTGTGGTTGTTAGCTGAAGTAGTTACATATGTGTCAGTAGTTAGCCAAAACAGTTAGGATGAGATTGTACAAATATGTAATAGCAGGGGATTGAGAAGGGTTATGCATTTTCTGATTGAGAAGTTGTACGGGGATGAGAATAGGAGCCTCTCAATACTCAAAGCTATCCGAGTTGTACCTGTTTTGGTGATCAATAAAGCTGCCTAGCGCTTTCCTCTGTAGCTGATTGAAGAGCCAAATCCTATCAGTTTACTTTTACTTGGAGTTTTTCTACTTCTCAGGATGAAATGAGGTTAAAACGTAGCGGTCGTGTGTGATGAGGAAGAGGAAAACAGGAAAAGAGTCAAATCTTGTTTATGAATCCATCGTTTCAGAGAGTTGTTGCCCAAGGACACACCATACCCAGAAGTTGCATCTGTCGGCAATTGCAATTTGTCAAGAACGGCAAGCGAGAGGAAGTTATGGGTAGCTCCACAATCTATCAAAACTACGACTTTCTGTTCCCCTATTGATCCTTGCACCTTCAATGTTTTTGGTGAAGTAATGCCCACAATCGAATTCAGAGAGAGTTCTGCAACCTCCTTCGCTTCTGGCTGAGCTTCCCTAACCTCACCAGAATCGTCATCTTCATCGTCAGGGAGAAGAAACTCCCCCTCCTCTTTCACCAAAATCACTTGTAGTTCACGATTCTTACAGCGATGCCCAAAAGAATATTTCTCATCACAGCGAAAACAGAGCCCCTTACGTCTCTTCTCGCCAAGCTCCGCATCATAGATACGGCGGACTCCAGATTTCATAGCCGAATCGGCTGTGTTTTCGCCAATCGGCGACGAGCTCTCAACATGACGGCCCAACGAACTGCGATTCTGCCAACCCCCATTCCCCGTAGGAAGAGACACGGTGCGAAAATTATGACCTGACCCCGATTTTGGAACTCTATTGTCCCACTGTCGAACCCCAGTCGAACCAACACAGAGGGTTATGTTCCAGATGTAGAACTAGATCAATGGCATGCTCAATTCCTTGAGGCTTAAAGGCCTCCACCATATTACGCAGATTGGGCTTAAGCCCATTTTTGAAAGCACTTTCTAGAACATCATCTGATACGACATTCAACTGAGAAAGCAATTCTTCAAAAATTTGCAAGTACTCCAGCACAGATCGATGTTGTTTCATGGTGAACAGACGATCACTAGGCTTTCCTACCACCTTCGCATCGAAACGGGCCAACATGCGAGCTTGCAGATCCGGCCATCCTCAGAACGGCCGCCGACGGTGCCAGTTGAATCTTCTCATGTTCATCGACTCTCCCCATAGCAAAATAGCGTTCGGCTTGAGCAACCCAATCAGCAACGAAAACACCTTCAAAGACAGGCATCTCTATCTTCTTCAATGCTAACTCCGAACCAGCCATGAACAGAGCACAATCGGGTGTCGGTGCTACGTCTCCCAACACCGGTTCAGCCATCGCAACCGGGGACTGCGGCGGTGGACTCATCTGATCATCCATCGGAGCTTTTCCCAATCGTACGAAGGGCTGATCACACGTCGACAGACCAGCTGAAGCCATCGGATCTGGAGTTGCCTTTGAAGGTCCAACCCCTTGATCAAGCATGGAACACAGTTTCTCCAGTATTTCCCTCATTGCTGGAATTTGGCTGCACTCCTTCTGCAAGTTAGTCACAGAACCCTGCAGATCTCCCAGAGAATCAGCAAACTCACCCAACCTAGTATGCATCGTCTCCTCCAACTGCTCAAACCTGTGATCTTTTTGATCTTTTGGCGGCATTCTGGATCTGACGCTCTGATACCAATTTGGTAGAGTATTGTAATCAAATAAGATTCAGAATTGTATTTCCATCCACTGAAATACAATGTCCAGAGCTATTCGAGAGGCTCAACTCTCCCAAACCAAATCTATTATCAAAATAATCGATAACCCCAAATCCCCCAACCCTAACGTAGCTATATATGATTCTCTTAACAACCTACTGATGAGGTGGCATAAAAACCTTAATGTGGATACAAATAAAATCATAACAACTCTCAGCTGCCACCGTACTTCATTCCGCTCCTCTTCCTCCTGAGTTTTTGTGTTCTTCCTTCTGATGATCCTCTTGTTGACCACTTGTATGCCTTTCGACATGTCCTCGCTTGTTCCTTCTTCTGTAAATCCGGAAAGGTCTATCATCTTCCTCCTCGGCTGTATACGAGGGCCTTCTTGAACCCATATTTCTTTTAGCCAGAGCTCTCAACCTGTGCCCCACACTAGCACCTTGGCCCAAACAAATCTGCACCATAACTTTTTAAACCAGCCAGGGGTGCAGTTGCAGTCTTAGAAGCTGCACCCACGACTGATATAAATGCATTGTTGTCCCTGTCAATATGTTCCACGAACAATCGGTGACTGACCCATAGAAACTTCCTTTTCTATTGCGATTTTTCTAGTTCGTCACGATTCTTCATCATCGCGCCCAGTTTCATCAGCGATGAGAACATCATGAGCACACTGTTTTATCAAACACGTTCATCACATATATTTATGGCATCTTCTGCCACCATGTTCTAACGTTTTTTAACTAGGTTTGGATTGAGTTTAGATTGTCCTTATCTATTGAGACTATTTATAGGTTTAATTTGCATGGTGTTAAGGGGTTTTCGAGATTTTCATCGATTATCATTTCTTACCTTTTAGAGAACTTTCGATCTAGGATTGTATCATCCGATACTAGATTTCGGTTCTCATTTTTTTTGGATGAAAATGTGAATTATATTATATATAATAATTTACAAAACGGTAATCTTCCGAAAATCTACAAAAAAACCATGGCAAATGGTATACAAAAATCCCGACAAAGGGAATAACATACAAAAGATTATTTGTGAAATATTAAGAAGATCTCTCGAGGTAATACCAATCTTGTAGAGGCGATGATACGGAACTTCGGCTCCGGATGACTTCATGGAGAAGGATGTTTCTTACAGCTTTATTAATCTTTGTACCGAGGATTGATGGCGGCTTAGCAAGGTTTCGGAATAGGCGATTATTCTGTTCTTTCCAAATTGCTTCCACAACATTTTGGAGTAGAATCCGTGCATGCAGGGAACGACACCGACCATGATCATGCTCGAGATTAAGGATCCAAGAGATACAATCAGTCAAGCTATCAGGTGGATTTGCCCAGATTCTGCCCCGCAAGAGAAGCCCACACCGATAAGCTATAATCACAGCAAAAGAAGAGATGATGATGTGATTCATCTCGGGTTTGACATAATAAACATGTAACATCTTGTGCGATTTCCCATCCCACCAACCGATCTTTAGTTGGAAGCCTTCCTAAGATAGCCTTCCAAAGTATAAATGTCAATCGAGGAACTGAGAGTTTAAACCACACAATCTGATACTAATCAACCAACTGACCTGGTGTTCGGATGAGCTTCCATGTTTTCCCAGATTTCGGTTCTCTTGCTAGTGATTTGAAACTAGAACTTACTGTTCCAGTTTTCTCCATTCGGGACCTATCTTTTACTCTCTTTTTTTGTTAAGTTTTTTTTTATATATTAAAGTTTCAGTAAACGCCTATTATCTTTGACTATTTTTAATTCATTTTTTGTTGCTGTGTTTATAGGGTTTGCAGAATTAATAAAAAAAAAGTCGCAGAATAAAAAAAGAAGAAAAGAAAGCTGATCAAAGATAAAATTATTATACTAACAAGAATTGTGATAATAACTAAATGATTTTATAATTGATGATTATTCTTTCTCTATACTCATATCCTAAACCACACGGTTCGTGAATCGTGACATCTCATGTGCATAAAAACCCATTTACTGCAACCGATCATTAATTTGATATTATTGAGAGGCTAACCGCTGAATTATGATTATACATTGATACCGATAAGTAATGAATTAGAAAATAGATATGTGGGGTCCATTTATTGATCATCGAACCGTAAGGTACGGATTTTTTGTTAATCAGAAACGGATATACTTATCGGTGGTTCATCTACACATTCTTACCTTTGTAAGAATGAAATGACGGTATTTTTCTTGGGAGATTACGTTGAAAATTATTCTAAAGATCGAAAATGTGATCATGAACATAAGTTATCTGAATTTTGATCATATGACTCTTCCCCTCTACAGTCAGTTTTTGTTCTCCCTAAAATTTCATAACATTTTTTTTCTTAAATCATTCCATATTTATATCTCATGCGCATTCAGTGCTAAAAATGTTCAATATGATCTATATGAGAGTACACGTGTACGTTTCTTTTCAACCCGTTTTGTATTGAAAACTAGTTTTTTGGTTCAAGAAACCAAAAAAGACCAAATTGATTTGACCTCATTGGATGAGTAGTGATAGTGTGTATGTTGTTGTTTGGGAGTATTCTTACAAAAGAATAAGATTTTTTTTTTTTGTATTTTGGGAGTTATGCCTCGTGAAAGAATGGTCCCAAAAAAATGTAGTTGATAAGGTTGGACCTACAAGTAGTGTAGATGAAAGTGATAATCCTACATTGTATATTTTCATTTTTCACATTTATAATTACACATCACATGAAGAATATGGAGAAACCCAAGATTAGTTGGTTCAACTAGTAGAAGATTGAGTAAAACTCTTCCTAATCCAAATTTGAGTCTCCATTTGGAAAGAATTATTTATCTATACTTTCTCGATTTTTTTTCGAGATATAATTAGATCGTAAGTTTGATAAAATTCTGAATTATAAAAAAATATGCAAGAACAATATCTTTGTATTAGTGACACAACACAACAATATATCACTATTTCGTCACGTCACAAACGAAATCATGGACCCATAAAAATTGCCCAAATTTTTGTACCATAAAAGTTTGCAAATTTTCACCAATTATTTTTTGAAGTGTCAAGTTGCTACACAACAAGTGTTTTTGTTTGTGCATCATGGGACATGTGGGGATAGATTCTGTATTTGTAGATATATTTTCATCGTATCTGAATGGTTTATACCATTTTTTTTTAATAAATGTGAGAACCCCAACTGCAACTCTTTGAACACATTGGTTGGGTAAACCCCTTTCTACGTACACGAGTCTGAGATATATACGTAGTATGTGAATTAACCGTAATTAACGATCGATAGATGAATGAGTAAAGAGTCGAACCTGCAATCATTCAATTGAAAAGCAAAATCTTTGCCAACTCTCTTGAGGTTTCCCTCTATACCATTTTTGTATATTGAACTATATATATATATATAAGTTTTAATGCAAATTGGTCCAAATCAAAGAAATGAAAGGTGTTAGGTTTTTGCAACACATAATTTTATATTGACAAAAAACAGTAGTAAAAGACCAAATTGATAGGTTGTTGGGTATTATTTACTATAATTGGGTTTTAGTTCCATTATATGAGTATGTTACAAAATAAAGAGAATATAATACCAAAACTGTTATTAATACAGTTGGAATTAAGGTTCGCATCATATACTTAAGAATAATTTTTTTTATTGAAACCAATATCATCATGTTTTTATTAAGAATCAATATTCAATAAATGTTGATTAAGTAAATGAATGTGATCCATTCGGCAATAGAATAATTTGGTTTAGTAAATGCTGAAATAACCATGGATATTTTTATTTGAATACATAAAAATAAAACATCTTATTCAAATAAAATTCCATTCAAAAGACTAGGGGTGTAAAACGGGTTGGTCCGGTCCAGTCCATCACGGCTCGTTTCGATCTGGGAAAATTTTAGTCCAATGCAGCCCAATCCGTTTTTTAGCGAGTCAAAAATATATTAGTCCAACCCATATCGTTTTAGCCCGCAAACCAAATATATAAACTTTAAAAATAAAATTTTAATACTAAAAAATATTTAAAACTAATTCTAATATTTAACAATATTTAAAATATTTAAAATATAATAAAAAATAAAATTTTAAACAAAAACAAACTAAATATGTAATAAAAATATAATTTATATATAAAAATATTTTAAAATATATAAAAATATTAAAATTAAAAAACTATTTTTTTTCCTGACCCGCGAGTCAGCCCGACTCGTGACGAGCTGACTCGCCATGAACCCGACTCCTGCTGGTTCATTTGGCCCGGTTTTTTCTGGGTTCAAATATTTTGAGTCCGGATCGAAAAAATATGGGTCGGCTCGTGAGCCACCCCGGCAATCCGTGGTTCCTTTTATCCCCTACAAAAGGCGAAGTATGCTGGAATTTTTATAGAAAATAAAATTTTGGTTAATAAAATCGAATGGATCCATACATGAATCGATATAAAACTTGAATGAATATATATATATATTACAAAAGACTCATTGCATTCCTATGGCAAGACTCCAATCAAAATGTACATTAGCAATCAGTTCACAAAATTTTTCACGGTCCTAAAAAAGGCACTTTTCAAAAATTAAAAATCATGAATCTAAGGATGATATTATCTAGTTTCTTTTTTTTTATCGTTTTAAATTTTGAACAATTTAGAAGAAAATGGTTATAGATTTTATTTTCTTGTCTAATGGACCACATTTACAGGGATCAGGATTTGGCGACAGTGATGGTCCCCTTTTTTTGCACCTCTCCAAGAAAATTAATATTTACTCAATGTAACTTTATTATGATTTCATTAATAAAATAATGATGTAACTACAAATTTATCAGAAATTTCAATTATAATCTTTATCAAACCGATAGTTATGTCGTTTGATTTCATGGTTATTGTGCCACTTATGTCATTCACAAAGAAAATATCTGTTTTCAAACAAACAATTTATTTGTCTCCACGGTTTGTTATTTTGAAGGTAAATCAGCAAATTTTTTTCCCAGTTTAAACCATGTATTATATTTTTATTATAAAAAATATGTACAATTACTTTATTCTAAAATATTCTCGTACTTTTAAATTTTTCTCAAAGATCCCTATATGGACAAACAAAAATACTACAAAACTTAGAAAATATTCAATCTTTCTCCATATCAATATCAATGCAACGTAAGATTAAAAATAAATAATGAATAAAAAAAGAAAAATTTCCATTAAAAACTATTTTTTTCGTAATTTAATCCAATTAAATTTTTTATTTGTTATATCCAACAATAAAATATTTATACTTCTTAAAAAATAACATATAACCCCTAAACGCAAAATTAACTATTCAATGATGTTATAATAATAATTTTATCATACTCACATGATATTTTATCAATCATCGAAAATTTAATAATATTAAATAATAAAAATATTAAAATGATAATAATATTAATAAAAATAAAATAAAACAAAGGTTTTTTTTCGATAAAAAAAATCAACTTTTAAATAATATGATATAAAACAATTTATAAACTAAACTACAAGTTAGATTTTACAAAAATACTTTAACATTATTGATATTGATTTAAAAAGCGGTATTACATTCAGTTTTCAATATTTATTTTCTCAAACGAGAAAACATGTGTTTTTTTTTTCTAATTTAAGGATTTAGCCCAAATTATGGTTCAATGAATATTATCTATGCCAAGGGTTTTTGTATATAATATTTGTCGAAATTTAAAGAATGTAAACAATATCCATCAAATAATGTTTGCAAACATCGTTTGTTAAATTATATTTATACTCTTTTATAACAAGATTAAACGTAACATCTTGATTATCTACGCATATTAGTTAGGAGTTTCTATTATAACCACACAAAAAACTTTTTTCCCTTTAAATTCATCTAGAAAATGTCATACTGTGGCCTGTCGGTTTATGCATATTATCCTATAAATGTCATCTTCCCTAATTTAAGTTAGGAAATGAATTTTGATGAAAGTAAGGTCTTACAATGTGATTCTTTAGGCTGTGTGCAAGTACATAAGAAGGTTAGTCGGGTCCAAAGAATTTGGATATTCCCGTTATCCATATATATATGTATATATATTGTTAGTTTACGTGTTCTATTGTCACAAAACAAAAATAAGATAATTTTTTGCATTCCACTTTGCTCGTCATTTAGGTACACTCTCAAATAAAATGGATTAGACAGACAGAATTCAGGTCGGCCCGACCCGTTCAATTCCTTCGTTGTAAAATAATTTTTTTTGGAAAAAAAAAACGAGCTTTCGGATAGAGCCAAAGTCCGATTTGTCCATAACCTGAAAGCCTAAATTTTTTTGGGCCGAAATATTTAGGCCCAAAGCCCTATATGTTTTGGGTGGGTTCGGGTCAGGTTTTGGGTTGCGGACAAAAATTGACACCCTAATGACAAGTGCATTTACTCTATCCAGATATATTCTCTGTGTATTGGTTTCTAACTGTTTTTGAGTTTTTTCTTACACACATAGTGAGAGAGTGAGGAGGGATCAGTTGCTAAAGAAAAAAAGGGAATGAGAAGATCGTGGATCTTAGTGAGGGAGAGTCAGAGACGCAGGAAGAAAAAGACGAACAACATATGTCATCACTTGATAATTTTGATTAACCAGACTAGTTCTGTGATTAAGCTCTTAGTGAATGATTTCTCTGTTTGTTGAAGTAGACTTGACTAGTCTTGACCTTCTCTTCGTGACGTGTTGTCTTCTGTGGTTTTGTGTTTGTTGTGTTTACTTCCTGGTTGCATATTTGAATATTTTGTGAATGCTATGAATTGCAATTTTTTTTAATCTTGAATATGTTTAAGAAAAAAGTAAAAAAGGGGAGAATATTAGACACTCGAGATGTCGTTGATCTAGATCTAGAGTTTGAGAATCGGCAGTGATGATAATTATTCCAATCTCTGTCGTTATCCCAGATTTTCCGGTGAACCGAAATTTTTACTATTACAAACCGATTCTATTAAATCCAATTCTGCATACATAGCATAAAAGTCTTATGTGTCGTGACAATTCACGTGTCACGTAGCATTGTTCAACATATTATTTTGATAAAAATTATTATTAGGACGATTATGACACTTTTAAGTAAATTTAGAAATTATCGTATCTAATTTTTCAAGTTCGGAAATAAATAAGAACATTTATAAGTTCGGAAATTAGTTTTCCACCGAATTATAAGTTTAGAATTTTTCAAGAGTTTTTTCCTAAAAAAATGAAAGATTATTAAAGTTTCAAATATGGTATAAATTATGTTTGGAATTAATTTAGGAAGTCAACAGATTTCTTAACAACAACGTCATATATTTTGTTCGGTAGTTGGTTAGGTTGTTCAATTGGTTGTCTTATGTCTGAAGTTGTGGTATATACGTACACACATACACATACCCGTATCTATATAATCTTATATTTATGTAAATTAATGGGTGTGTGTATGAGACAGAGATGATATCTAAAAGAAAATATAATTCTTATCTTATGTCTAGTTTTCGATTAATGTGGTATTGGATTTGTCACCTAATTAAATTAGAGCTAATTATGGAATTAATTTTAGAGATAAGGTATTAATTTTTTTTTAATTTGCCTACCGCAGCTTTGGAAGAAGGTAGTCCTTTTGCAGACAATCTCAATAATGTCATGGATTAAATTAAAATTTAAAATTTCCACTAACTAAATGGTTACTGTATTTTTATTTTTTATTTTTTTTTGGTAAGGGCTGTATTTTTATTTTACTTCCCATATTCTATAAAAGATTATGACGCTTCACCACGTGCTATATGGCTCTAAGGACGAAAGGTTCAATCGTTTCCATACTCTATATACCATTGTCTAGCTAACTTTCAAATCCAACAACAACAACAACAATAACAATAACAATAACAATAATAATAATAATAATAATAATAATAATAATAATAATAATAATAAAATAATAATAATAATAATAATAATAATATAATAATAATAATAATAATAATAATAAATGCCATTGCTTCCATTATTTTATTAAGATAAAGGCACAAACACATCTAGTTAAAATATCTATTTAAGATTTTGAACTTTCTAGGGTAGAGAGTCGATTATCAACAAATAAGTGGTTTATAACCTTTTTAAACAAGAGAAAAAAAAACAAGATTCTAAAAATTTTCATCAATTAAAGGGTTTTAAATTTTTTGACGAATGAAAGAAATAAAGTAAAAAACCCAATCTAATTTAATAAATATAAAAGCAGCTCAACGGGAAAAAGGCACTTGAATAATATTAAATGAACCCCAACCAAACAACATTAAATTTGGAGCTAATAATTTAATACACCAAATAAAAAAAATCTCATTGTTTAATAAAATTAAATAAATTTTCGAAAAGACCCCACCAATCCCTCCATGTCCTCTTCCTCAAACCCTTAAATCTTCCAATCTCTCCTCAGCACTGCCCACGAAATCTCATTTTGAATCTATAGAAGAAAAAAAATCCAAACTCCAAAAAATCATAATTTTGTTGTCTCAATCTCTCAAAAACCAAATCCGAAACAAAATCACCAACAGAAAAGGGAGAGAGAAAATGAAACTTCCATTTCTTTACAAGAACATTTCTTCAACACCTAATTATTCCTCTTCTTGTTCTTCATCCTCGTCATCATCTTCTTCTTCTTCATGGCCATGGCCTTCTTGTCATCAAAACCCTAAAACCCTATCTTTCAGAAACACCGCTACCAGTAAAAACCCTAATCTCGTCAATGATGAAACCGAGCTCGCTCCCGCGACTTTTTCCTCCTCCGCCGCCGCATCAGAGCCTCCGGAGGAGCCAGAATCGATCGAAAATGTTATCGAGAGGCTAAAATCGTCCAAAAGACTCATCTTCGGGCGAAAAGGAGAATCGAACTCGATTCTTGAAGAAGCAAATAGACCAAGAAATGGTTTCATGCTTTTATCATTGGAATCAAATGACCCTTATGCAGATTTCAAGAGATCAATGGAAGAGATGGTTGAAACACACAAGCTGCATAAAGATTGGAAAAGTCTCGAGAAGCTTCTCTATTGGTTCTTAAGGGTCAATGCGAAAAGTAGCCATGGATATATCTTCGCTGCCTTCGTTGATTTGCTCGTTGGATTAGCCCTCAAGGGTCAAAACGACGTTGTTTCGAGCTCGACAGCTACAGACGCTGTTACTGTCACCGTTACTGAAACGAGTTCTACTTCATGTTCTTGTTCAAACGATGAAGGGAATCCGAATCACGCCGGGGAATCTCCGTTATCACCGTTGTCGTTCTATACAACGTCGTTTTCTTCGGATTCCGACGAGACTTCGTTGTCGCGTCCGGTGCCACGTGTCACAGATGAGATTAGTAGGGTTTATTGTTTATCGTCTTTGTTAGAAATGGAAGAGAAGATTAAAGACATTGATGTGGATGATTATGTTTCTTGTTGATTAAATCTTTTTTTTTTATCTCGTGTTATGTCCTTGTTTTTTTTTTTCGCTTTGATTTGATATTGGAAAATTGAAATTCTTCAAATATGCAGACAGGTGGTAACACTAATTACACCTGTTATCTTGTGCACGTGCCACATGCGCATATATATATATATATATATATATATATATATATATATAAAACATGTGTTTTTT